ATCCACTACATTCACTACAGGACATCCACTACACTCACTACAGGACATCCACTACGCTCACTGCAGGACATTCACTACATTCACTACAGGACATCCACTACATTCACTACAGGACATCCACTACACTCACTGCAGGACATTCACTACATTCACTACAGGACATCCACTACACTCACTACAGGACATCCACTACACTCACTGCAGGACATCCAATACATTCACTACAGGACATCCACTACACTCACTGCAGGACATTCATTACAGGACATCCACTACATTCACTGCAGCACATTCACTACATTTACTACAGAACATCCACTACACTCACTGCAGGACCTTCACTACATTCACTGCAGGACATCCACTAAACTCACTGCAGGACATTCACTACATTCACTGCAGGACATCCACTACACTCACTGCAGGACATTCACTACACTCACTACAGGACATCCACTACATTCACTGCAGGACATTTACAACATTCACTACAGGACATCCACTACACTCACTGAAGGACATTCACTGCATTCACTACAGGACCTTCACTACATTCACTACAGGACATCTACTACATTCACTACAGGACATTCACTACAATCACTGCAGGACCTTCACTACATTCACTACAGGACATCCACTACACTCACTACAGGACATTCACTATACTCACTGCAGGACATTCACTACATTTACTAAAGGACATTCACTACACTCACTACAGGACATCCACTACGCTCACTGCAGGACATTCACTAAATTCACTACAGGACATCCACTACACTCACTACAGGACATCCACTACACTCACTGCAGGACATCCACTACATTCGCTACAGGACATCCACTACACTCACTGCAGGACATTCACTACATTCACTAAAGGACATCCACTACACTCACTACAGGACATTCACTACATTCACTACACTCACTACAGGACATTCACTACACTCACTGCAGGACATTCACTACATTCACTACAGGACATCCACTGCACTCACTGCAGGACATTCACTACATTCACTACAGGACATCCACTATACTCACTACAGGACATCCACTACACTCACTGCAGGACATTCACTACATTCACTAAAGGACATCCACTACACTCACTACAGGACATTCACTACATTCACTACACTCACTACAGGACATTCACTACACTCACTGCAGGACATTCACTACATTCACTACAGGACATCCACTGCACTCACTGCAGGACATTCACTACATTCACTACAGGACATCCACTATACTCACTACAGGACATCCACTACACTCACTGCAGGACATTCACCACATTCACTACACTCACTTCAGGACATTCACTACATTCACTACAGGGCATCCACTAAACTCACTGCAGGACATTCACTACATTCACTGCAGGACATCCACTACACTCACTACAGGACATCCACTACACTCACTGCAGGACATCCACTACATTCACTGCAGGACATCCACTACACTCACTACAGGACATTCACTACACTCACTGCAGGACATTCACTACATTTACTACAGGACATCCACTACACTCACTGCAGGACATCCACTACACTCACTACAGGACGTTCACTACACTCACTTCAGGACATTCACTACATTCACAGCAGGACATCCACTAAACTCACTGCAGGACATTCACTACATTCACTGCAGGACATCCACTACACTCACTGCAGGACATTCACTACACTCACTACAGGACATTCACTACACTCACTGCAGGACATTCACTACATTTACTAAAGGACATCCACCACGCTCACTGCAGGACATTCACTACATTCACTACAGGACATCCACTACACTCACTGCAGGACATTCACTACATTCACTGCAGGACATTCACTACACTCACTACAGGACATTCACTAAATTCACTGCAGGACATCCACTACACTCACTACAGGATGTTCACTACATTCACTACACTCACTACAGGACATTCACTACACTCACTGCAGGACATCCACTACACTCACAGCAGGACATTCACTACACTCACTGCAGGACATCCACTACACTCACTGCAGTTCCCAAAAGGTCAACTTTCATCCAGTTATATACAATGACTAAAATACCCAGTTCCGTCTCCTCTGCCATCGGTCACTGCCATGTCTGTTGACATAGATTGGAGAAAAATATTCTTAAGCATGAATTCAAAATATTCAAATTTGATTACAGGAGATAATCTGTATCCCTTCAACATATTTGGAACCAATATGCAATACCTGTATAAGCATCCTGGATGTAGTAATAATGTAGCCAGATTTGAGAAGCAGTGCATTTCCCAGCAGGTTTGTTGATACTACTATGAAACATTTTTAATGCATATTTGGGGCCAATATGTGACACCTGTATAAGTATCATGTGGCCAGATTTTAGAGGGGCTGCATTTCCTGGCAAGTGGACTGCCTTAAAAGGCACCCGCCTGTAAGTTTCTTTCTGTTGACACAACTATAATATGTTTTTAATCACACATAATTGTGACCAACATGTTAAACCTATACAAGTATCATCGATACAACAACCCCCCAGCCAGATCAGTTTTCCTGACAGGTGGACTCACTTGAAAAGCATCCTCTTGTAACATTTTTTTATGAATAGAACTATGAAATATATTAGTAATATACACTTAGGGCCAACATGTGTTTTCTGCAATACATTTTCAGGGATGCAACACCAATTCAGCAAAAACTGGCATGTTCTGGCCAGAGTTCTGCTGTACAAAGCATTTCCCTGTCATTCTCTTTCTTTTGAGTCTACCATGAACTGATTTTAGCAGTATGTATTTGGAGACAGTATGTATCCATGCAAGTTACATGGCAGCAATAAGAGTGTATCCCGATTTACACTGGGCTGCATCTCCTGAGAGTTTTTTACAAGTCACTGCCTTTAGAGTGTAAAATCTAAAGAACCTGATCCAGACTGGTGAGAAACGTGACACGATAAGTAGGTGAAATTCATATGTATATTTTGTTGACAAATAGCAACAAGTTTTGCTGCATACAAAGTCAATGCAGACTGCTGTGTCGTAGAATAAGTAAGCAGCGGTGTTTGTGGGCTACACTATACTGTTGTATTACTGTTTACGGGTCACTGTACTTTAGAAGAACATCTGGGGTGTTTCCATTCTGTAGAACAGCGAGGTATTGTGTTGTTGATCAAAACGAAGGTGATGTTTTGTAAGTTCTTCAAACCGATATATGTAAAGTAAAAGCTCCTTTTAGCTATCACTAAATCACTTAAATTAGCTTACAATTAGCTCACTGCTGCTAACACTGCTACTCGTGATAAAGAAACTAAATGCAGAGTCAGCCGTTTTCACTGCAGCGAGGACACGGTGTGAACAGGGACTCCGGTTCAGCCGGGCTGGTTTCTTCCTGTGTGGTTCAGTGTGAATGCGCTCCCGGTGCAGCCCGCGCTCAGATTCAAACAAGGATTCTCGACATTCATTGGCTGAACAGACCATAAACACGATTTTATCCAATGAACACACAACTTATTTTTTGTGGTTTCTAAACTTTAAGTCTACCAAATATAAGACAACAATATACCTTTGAACTGATATTACAATTTACTGCCTGTTTTAAAGAGAAATGTTCTGAATTACTGAATGGTTTGACAATTATTTGAATTATTTAAACCTCATCATTTTAGTCAAAATATCTGATCTGATGCTGTTTGCCAGTTAATAATATGGAAGTTTAAATTAATTTACCATACATTTACTGTTTTAAAACAACAAATTACTGTTAATTTACAACAGGTAATGGATTTGTTATATTATTATTACCCTGTATTAAAAGTAATTTTATAGGACAGTTCTGTAAATTAATGTTCATTAGGTTTTATAATGTGCTTATTACTTATAATTATAGCAAACATGCATAAAAAAACAAAACAATGCTCTGTATTTTTAAATAAACACACACAGAGCAGTAAAAATGTAAAATAACTATATTGGTCTGTATTTTTACACTGAGTTTTTAACCTTTCAACTGTGGTTTTACAATGATAACTACTAAATTCACACTCAAAACTCAAACACTCAAAATGGTACAGCCATGTTAAAAAAGGTAGATTCTTATCATTTAAAATAACAGACTTTGACTGTATTTTTACAGCAGATTTATTGAAAAAAGTGATTTTCCTGTATTTTACAGGTATATTCTATTATCATGAAAAATACAGAAAAAAAACTGTATTTTTTTACGGTCAAAAACCTTTTTTTGCAGTGTAGAAAGCAAAGAATAAAGATTTGAACACATTATAAGGCCCAATCCCACTTCTTCTTTTTACCCCTACCCCTTGTTTTTTAGTGTCACTCTAACCCCTTAGAACTGAGTTACAGGGTAGTGGTTGAAATCTTCCCTCTGAAATGGGACCCTCAAATAAAAAGAGCATCACTTCATTAACAGCTACTAGCTATTAGCTATTTTTATGCTTGTTATGAAGAAAACGACCATAATACATTTAAACGACATTAAACTAAGATAATATAATGGTTATTATAATTTTTAACAGAGAAAATTCTCACATTTGTGGGTTTCTTTGGTCTCTTGTTCAGCCGTCTCACCGGTTTTTCTTTTTTTCTCATATCTCTCTGTTTGGAGTCTCTGAAAAACCTCCGTTTGGAGGGTCATGTAGCCCCAACACTTCACCTACCCCTCTATCTCAACAAGAATCGGGACACCCTACCCCAAAACAGAGGGCTAAGGGCTCAGTAGTAGGGGCAAGTGGTGAAATGGGATTGGGCCTTAGTCAGATTTCTGTAGAAATTCTAAGAATCAAAAAGGTTTCATAAACTTTCGATCACCGCTGTTTATATTTTTACTTCTGTTCACGATGATGAAGCTTTATATTTGTGGAGTATTTGTAACACAAACAAGACACAATCACAGCTCTTATGTGGATTTTATCTGTTATAACAGTTGTTTGCTTATTACATTTTTAACTGATTTACTGCATTTCTCTGTTCTTAGTTATGGAGATGAAGAAAAACAGTTTGCTGTGGCCATCAACGTTCCAGCCAGAAAGTGTACTTTTGGCATAAAAGCTGACCAGATTGACTTACTCCCGTATGCTGATGCACAGACAGTGAAAGCTGCTATGAATGGCGCTGCTAAAGTCTACAGAGGTTGCCAACTGATAGGTGCCAAACCAAAACCAATCCCTGGAAAAAGAAGCAACTACCACTCTGAGTACCTTCTGCTGATTGATTCAGACCCACCAGGACCATCTTCTAACGGTCCTGCCATTAGGGATCTCCTGGAGAATAACCCAACTGGCTGTTTGATTTTCTACACCTTCAACTCTCCCTGTGTGAACACCTGCTCAACACCCACTAAGCCTTACAGCATCATCCCTGCACTTGAGATGTTTAAGAACCATGCTGGTCCTAAAGCTTTCGTTTTTCACAAGGTTTGGCAACGTGATGTGAACAAGACTCAGTGGGAAGCGAACATGAAGGAAGTGAATGCCAGAGTGCCGCTGTACCGCTGTGATAATGGTAGCTGTACTCTCTGTGTGAGAAATAATATAGTCGATGATAATTGCAAGAGGAATCTGCAACAAAACTAAACTTTGGTCGGTGTAATGCTGCGTCAAAGGCAACTCTTTCATTAAAAATGCTCCAAAATTTGCACGAAACGCGAGACTGTAGAATCTTCACTTTTGTGAAAACATCTCTGCATCGTGTATTTGATTATTACGCTTTGGCATTTACGAATAAACACTCCTGCATTTAACCAGCCTGAGTCTGATTACTTTATTGGTCTTGGTCTTACATTTTAGGAAGTTGCTTTGCTCCCATTTTAGCAGATCTGCTCCATACCGAGTCTTTCACGCCCCAGCCTCAGGAGGTGAAGACCAGCACTGCCGTGTGGTCAGCCGCTAAATGATCCGCTAAGCGATGTTTCTACACATACGAAATCAAGGACTGCTGTTTTCAACTGAGACCAGGAGGTCATGAATGCTGACCGTTTGGCTTCAACATGGAAAAGAAGAAACAGACACTTAAACTGGTCAGTTTTAAGGATATTTACGAAACAAGTTTATTTGATATAATATCAATACGCTGCTGTATTTACAAAATAAAAAGTCACTCTGTAAAGCACGATGGGGATATTTAGTAGGTCGTATTCTACATCCATCTAAAATAACTCCACTTCTGCTCTGTTTGATTGCACTCAGCAAATTTGGACTTTCAAAATGTGAAAAAAAAAAAAACACAATGTAGTAAAAATATGTAAAATAAACTGATTAGATTACAGACTCAGGGACTCAATCCGGTCCTTATCGACCTCAATCCGCTCCGGGTTTTATTCTTCCTCCGCTGAGCCGGGAATCGTGATCGTTTACCTGGTTCAGGTGGTGGAAGCTGCGGGGCGGATTGCGGTCAGTGTCAGTTTGACCTTTCGTGAAAAACGTTGTCCTGTAGTGAAACAAGTAAGAGCAGCGTCCATTACAGTAAAGCAGGAAAACAGACTGAACACACTGCTGCCTTTACAGACCATTCAGAGTTCAAGTAAAACAGGATTTGTTAAAGGAATTAAGGTCATTAACATAACAGCATAAAAATAACAGAACAAAAGTCCAACATTTTATTCAATAACCGTGACTTACTGCATATGAAAAGGGCAAAAAAATCAATAGAAATACTCCACCGTTTTACACTGATGATTAAAGGTGCAGGGGGTCTGACTTTTAGCTTTAAAGAAAGACCCTAAAGACACTGTTTACAAATACAGCACCGGTCAAACGTTTGGACACAGATAGAAGAGTTTTGGGGTTCTTAATTTTTTTTTATAATTATGAAAACATAAAAATGACAAAATAAATCAAATTGCAAAGAATCAATGTTAAATTCTTTAAAAGAGCACATTTAGCATGTAGCTAGCAAAGAATCTAAATTATTGGATTATTTTAGCATGCAGCTAGCAAGACATAAAGGCTAATATGGCTTTTACTTCTTGCTAGTGAGGATTGGAAGCTAATGTGATTGGTTTTACATATGGTTAGTAAAAAAGCCAACAATGTAGCATGTAGCTAAAGAAACAAAAGCTAATGTGGCCCATTTAGCCGTGGTTAGCAAGGAATGAAAGCTAATTCAAACATTTTAAGATGTGGCTAGCAAAGAACTTAAGTTCGGGGGATCATTTTAGCATGCAGCTAGCAAGAAAGAAAAGCTAATGTGGCTAGTGAGGAATTCCAGCTAATGTGCTCCATTTAGCATGTGGCTAACAAGGAACTAAAAGCTAATGCAAACCATTTAGCTTCTATCTAGCGAGGAATGAAACCTAATGTGATTTGTTTCACGTGGTTAGCGAGATAAGAGAGCTGAGGCGATCCTTTTAGCATGTGGCTAGTGAGGAATTCCAGCTAATGTGATTTATTTCACATACAGCCAGTGAAAAAAGAAAGCTAATGAAACATTTAGCATGTAGCTAGTGAGAAATTTCAAGTAATGTGATCCATTAAACACATACTTTTGGGAAATTTCATCTAATGGAATCCATTTAGCATGTAGCTAGCAAGAAATAGGCGCTAATATGGCTTTTATTTCTTGCCAGTGGGGAATGGAAGCTAATGTGATCGGCTTCACATGTGGCTAGTGAAAAAGAAAGTGAATGAACCATTCAGCATGTAGCTAGAGAGGACCGAAAGCTAATGTGGCCCATTTAGCCTGTGGTTAGCAAGGAAGGAAAGCTAATTCAAATCATTTAAGATGTGGCTAGCGAAGAACTTAAGTTCAGGGGATCATTTTAGCATGAAGCTAGCAAGAAAGAAAAGCTAATGTGGCTAGTGAGGATTGACAGCTAATGTGATTTATTTCACATATAGCTAGTTAAAAAAGAAAGCTAATGAACCATTTAGCATGTAGCTAGTGAGACATTTCAGGTAATGCCACCTATTTAGCATGTGGTTGGCAAGGAATGAAAGCTAACTCAAACCATTTAACAGAGCTAGCAATGAACTTCAGTTCAGGGGATCGTTTTAGCATGCAGCTAGCAAGAAAGAAAAGCTAATGTGGCTAGTGAGGACTGACAGCTAATGTGATCTGTTTCACATGTGGCTTGTGAGGAACTCCTGCTAATGTGTTCCATTTAGCTTGTGGCTAACAATCAATGGAAGCTAAAGTGATCTATTTTGAACCTAGCTAGCAAGGAACGAAAGCTAATGTGTTTTGTTTCACCTGGTTAGCGAGATAAGAGAGCTGAGGTGACCCTTTTAGCATGTAGCATCTAGCTTCTAAAGAATGAAAGTTAATGCAAATCATTTAGCATCTGGCTAGTGAGGAATGAATGTTAATTAGCATCATCTTATTGGAATATTTCTAACCCAATTAGCTTCTATCACTGTTAGCAACATTAGCACATCAGTGTATTTCATTAAGATTAAACTAATATGATTCAGTCAGGGGGTCCAAACGTTCGACCGGAACTGTATTTGCGCCCCACTTTACCTTTCACACACTAGTAAATAAGAACGTCTGTACAAAACCGTTTCAAACCGCGACGCTCTGATCTTGAATCCGCATCAACGTAAACGTAAAAAACGCTAATATATACAAACTGAAAAGGCTCTGAATCCACGTCTGTACGTCTTCATGACATCACACTTTCCTTTATTTACCACATCAGTTCTTCCTGTTTACTGCAGAAGGGCGTAATAAATAAATAAACAAAAGCCCTTTAATAATAACTCAACTTACAGACACTCGATATGCAGAAATAAATGAGGGGAAAGAAAAAGGAACAGAGAGATCGTGGTCCGGCAGCGTCCGGCAGGCCGAGCGGTTGGCCGTAGCTGCCCACAGGAATGTGCAAAGATAAGAATTGGTTAAATCTACTGTTTGTTCATCGTCAGGTTGACCAAAAGTGTGCGACTGACCACAGCACGACGTGCGAGTGATGTTTCTAAGGGGGTCCATCTGTAACTGTGGGCACGTTTCACATCTGTAGCTGCATTTTTTTTTTTCACTAGATATTCATATTTAGATGTTATTACCTTCATATGTCATCATATTTTACCAAATAACATGGTTACATCTTAAAAATGGCATCAGTTTCGGTGAATTTGTGGTGAATTTTGTGAGGTTTTGCCTTATGTTATTGAAAAATTATGGAAATCCTAAACAATCATGGCAGCCTGTTTTTCTGTGATAGTTATTTTCTTTTGTTTTCTTGAGATCTCAAGATATTTAAGCCATTATCACTACATAAAGAAAGTTATCTCAATAAAACAGTGTCAGTTTTTTTGTGATAATGAGTTATTTTCAATTGTTTTCTTGAGATCTCAAGATATTTAAGCCATTATCACTACATAAAGTTATCTCAATAAAACAATGTCTGTTTTTCTATGATAATTAGTTCTTTTCATTTGTTATCTTGAGATCTTAATATACTTGTGCCATGATCACTACATAATAAATGTTAAATCCATAAAACAATGTTCCTTTTGCCTTAATATTGGAAAAAATATCACAATATCTCAAGAAAACAAATAAAAATATCTCGTTATTATGGAAAAACGGTCATAAGAATCTATAAGCCTTTAGGGCTTCTGCAAAAACACGAAAATAAGGTTTGAAAAAATTAATAAATTATAATATTTTGATCATTTTTCCCAGAAATAATTGACACATGTTGCAAATTCAATAAAAAATAGTTCATTTTGCTACTTGAATCATTAAATCAGTGAAAACCTGTCTTGAAAATGAAACGTTTATCCCAGGATCACATGACTACATGATGAGGTCACTGGAAGTTTCCAAAAATGTGTTAAAAACAGGATCAAAAGGGTGTAAATTAATGGTCAACACTGTTACCGTGGCAACACTAATTATAATCCTAATATATGCTTTTAAATACAAAATGTAGCATTAATGCTAATACAGTTGAGTATACAGTGTTCTAGCCAGCGCTAGCGTTCTATGTATACATATCAGGTTGCACATAGAACCCTAAAGCAAGCTAGAACAAGATATTTTCATTATTGTATTACCTTTAGAACAGCTTTTTAAATATTTATATCTCAGTATTTTGGGTTTTGATACTTTGAGGCTCAATTCTGAATATTTTATTATTTATTTATGAATATTTTGTGGTTTTGTTTTGCTTCAATAAAAAGGCTGAAGTGAAATAATTTAACATATTTTACAGTCAAATACAATAAATCATAATATATCTCAGTATATCAGTTGCATGGTGGGGTCTGTAGCGATTCTCGGCCTTATAGAGTCGTATGCAAAAGTTTTGGCACCCCAGCCAAATTATGTAAACACACTTAAATTTCAAAGCACAATTTCTATTTATGCGCTGACTTTAACATATTGGGAAAAAGAAACATAAACCATGGCCTGTGCAAAAGTTATGGCACACTTTATATTTTAAACACATGTAATTTGACCAGAAGTGTTCAAACTGTTGAAAATGACTGTTTCTCAATGTGCTGTTCACGATGTATTCATGTAATTTTCTAAAACAACATAAATGAGCGATATATATTCTGATAAACGATCACAGATATGAACAGTGAGCACAGTTACAGAGCGACCCGTGAGCTTTTAGTGTCTATGGTTGAAAAGCACTGTATAATACAGCTGAGACATACAGTTAAATATGAGTCTGTAATAACCTGTACATCACTGACCACACAGTCCGAGCAGGTTCTTTCATAGCAGCCGTCCAGGCGCTCTCCCGCTCTGATTTCTGGACTCTGGACTGCTGAAAAACTGACCAGTCAGGGTGATAAGCTTCTGAGTAAGAGTGCTGATACAGGATCAGGCTGAGCTTTCACTGAAGGGCTGGGCGATATTTAAATAAATCACAGATATATCTTTTTAAAATATCCCGATACGCGATATTATTGTTCTTATTTGACAAACAGGGATGCTTATTAATAGAGATGCACAATGACATCGGAATTATATCGGTATCAGACGATAATTGCTTAAAAAAATATATATCGGCATTGGATGGATGAACTCATATTTGATGATGTGTTTATTAAAGAACAGCTGAATGTTTAGCTGATGATGAGTTACTGCACTAAAATATTTGCATTGTTTTTTCTTTTGAAATCCTACAGAAATATGTTTTTTCTGCATTGTATGTTTTAGTTTGTATGTATTGACATGGTAGATATATACATGAAAAATATTAGCTATCAGCCCATGATTCTTATTTTGGTGCATTTGTACTTATAAACAGGAAAAAATAACCATAAAATTAAAACTCCATCAGCAATAGACCTCATTTTGTTCACTTAAGACCTGCATTTTACAATTTGACCACATAGTTTTGACCATAATTTGACCACCAGAGGGCACTGCAGGAAACTCTACAGCGCCCTCTGGTGGTCAAATGAGTTTGTGAATGGCTACATTGCTGTTTTGGCAGCATCAAAAAGCAATTAAGCAGCAAAACTGCTGATCAATGCAAAAATAATATTGTTGACAACCTTTGATATCACAACAAGAACATTGTCAAATCGGCCCAGCCTCACTTTCACATCTCAAAGTCAGACCCACTTCCACCCTGCGAAGATTATACTAATAGATTGTTGTGGTGGGGGTCAGGATGGGGGTCTTGAGAACATTTTGAAGAGGTCGTAAGACAGCTGTCAGAAATTAAGCATTTTTTTTATAACATGTTTTTGAGAATCACTTTTCCATAAAAATTCTCGTTTTTCATGATTTTCTTCATTCAGCTAAATATGCAAAATATTTTCAGAAAAATGGGCAAAATGGGCCACCAGACTGTAAAAACAAGTATAATAATTAGGAAAGCACCAAAATTTCATCCATCACTATGAATAATTAGCTATAATTATCCATAATTGCCAACAATTATTGATAATTCATAATTTGCTGGATCCAAACACACCTTCAGCAAATGGCTGTAGTATTAAAGACTATGTGGCTGTGGGAGGAGACATCTGAGGGTTCTATACAGCACTGAAGAAAGGGTTCTTTGCCTCCTAATAATAGGAGAACCCTTTTTGGTGTAATAAAGAACCATATTATAAAAGTGTTCTTTAAAGAACCATACACAAATGGTTTTCCAAAATTTGACCATGCAGAGAGCCAGTTATGCTTTAAAGGGTTCTGTGAGTGTCCATGGTTCTTGTTAGAACCACTGTCTTTACTCAAGAACCCTTAAAGAAACATTTTTAGGAGTGTGGAACAGGTAGGAGATTTTGTCACAGAAGGCAGAGAATAATTTTAGTCATAATGGAGTTATAGCTCATTTTAGATATGTACATTCAATATTGATAATTATTGATTTATTAATCAATGCTGATGTGTTTATCGCTTCATTTAATGATCAATAATTCATGTTTCAGAATGGACAACTACTGATAATTCATTCATTATCGTTACCAAATAATATTGATATAATATATTGTGATAGTATCGTGATATCGCCCAGCCCTGAACTCCACAGCAAGGTACATCTCCAGTCGGAATGGCCGACCTGGAATCAGCACTTTTACTCCGACATTCCGGCTCGTCTTCAGCTTTCCGGAGGGTTCTGCTCCTCACTCTCGGGACTGCTCACGTCCCGCCGCACCCAGACAACATCGTCGCCGGGCGCCGCCTGCTCGTCCACGCTGGCCACGGACACGGCGCACTGCTTCCCCAGGTGAGACAGCCGCAGAGCATGCTGGGATTTGGAGTCTTTGCTTTCGGAAGCGTTCTGCTCATCCTCATCCAGCGTCAGCGCCGAAACCTGTCCTTCCAGCTCCGGCTCGGCGGACGGGCTCAAGGTGGACTGGCTGAAGTCTTCGGTCTCGTCGCCCTCCTCGTCCTCGTCGCTCAGAATGTCCGTCTCCTTCACCTGCTCCTGCTCCTGCTCCTCGTAGCGCTGCAGGTCGAACTGCTCCTCTACCCAGCGGTCGGTGTCGCCCGGCTGCAGGGCATGCTGGGAGTCTGGCGAGTCGGCGTCGGGGTCAGCGTCTGCGTCGAACACGATGTCCGTGTCGATGGTGAACCGGTTCCGAACCAGCTTGCGTCGACCCAACGTACGTGTGGGAGCAGAGGCTGCGCACAAACAGAACAGACGTTAATTATGGACGTACGATGGTCTCCAAAAGTATCTGGACACTTAATCATTGATAACCTTTGATACGGTTATTTATGTGATGAGTTCAGAGACGAATTACTCAAGTTTGAGCTTTCACTGCCTGCAGTTTCCCCCAATCTACAGCTGAAAATTATTCAGGTAAGTGGGATGTTCACCTGCTCGGTTCATGGTGGGTCGAGCTCCTTTCAGAGCGCAGAGGCGTTTCCCTCCGAACGGGACGTACTGCTGGCTGGGAGGGAGACTCTCCGTCTTCAGCAGCTGCCGTCTCTGTTTGTCCCTCAGGATGGAGTGGACCGTCCTCAGGAAGTCCTTCTTAGTCTCAGGAGAACTGCAGCGACCAGGGAACGCAAAAGGACTTCAGATCAGGTCATTTTCATATTAGAAATAATGACACACACTCATAAATATAACTAGAATAGTGCACTTCCTGTAGAAAATGAGTGACTGCGCAGCTGAAGCCATTTGAGAATCATTGCTAAGGTGTTGCCAGGCAGTTGCTATGGTATTTTATATGGTTGCTAGGGTGTTGATAGGTAGTTACTGTGGAATTCCAGGTGGTTGCTGAGGTGTTGCTAGGTGGTTGCTAGGGGTTGCTAGGAGGTTGCTATGGTATCCAAGGTGGTTGCTAAGGTGTTGCTAGGTGGTTGCTAGGGTGTTGCTAGGAGGTTGCTATGGCATCCAAGGTGGTTGCTAAGGTGTTGCTAGGAGGTTGTTATGCTATCATGGCTGGTTGCAAAGGTGTTGTTAGCCAGTTGCTGTGATATCCTATGTGGTTACTAAGGTGCTGCAAGGCAGCTGCTATGGTGTCCCGGGTGGTTCCTATGGTGTTGCTGGGTGGTTGATATGGTATCCCAAGTGAATGCTAGGTGGTTGCTATGGTATCACATGTGGTTGCTAAGGTGTTGCTATGGTATGCCAGGTGGTTGCTAAAGTGGTGCTAGGCAGTTGTTATGGTATCCCAGGTGGTTGCTGGGGGGTGCTAAATGGTTGTTATGGTATCCTAGATGGTTGCTAAGGTGTTGCTAAGTGGTTGCTATGATATCCTAGGTGGTTACTAAGGTGTTGCAAGGCAGTTGCTATGGTATCCCAAACAGTTGCTAGGTTGAGCAGAAATACAGTAGATGGACGTACAATTTTTTACCCCAGTCATTCTTACGGGAAAAAAATTCAGAATTTAACGAAAGATTGTAAAAACTGTAAGTCAGATCAAAAAGCTGAACACTTGCACACAATTCCCAATCAGACCAAACTTTCCGAAGTTGGAACGGTGTTATTATCTTGAAAACTGCAGGACGAGTTAGCGGACAAAAATCCATTAGAAAAATAGGAAAAAAAGAAGACTAATAGAAATCGGATAACAATAGTGTTGCGCATTGCTTTGCACTAATTATATCACTAATTATATAAATATAAAATGTTCCATCCTTTGACAGGTCGCATATTTTCTTTAATTTTGTTTCCCTAATATGTTAAAATGAACAAATAATCAGTATTTGTGCACTAAAATGTGCAGGACTGTGTTCCTCTGCAGAGGACGTGCTAACAACACCTGAAATCTGACCAGGTCTGTGTGTTAAAACTAGAACTGCCAAATCCTGAAGCTGTAAATACGACATATAAAAGTTTAATCTAAACTGCAAAAGCCAAATTTTATGATTTTAACACACAGCGAGATCTGTACGGTTGCCAGGTTCCAGTATTTATGCTGTGAGCTCATGTTTCTCCACTAGGTGGCGACATTTACAATAAAATATTCAGTGTCAGTGTGATGTGACTGATTTGGCTGAGCGTCTGTCTGAGTCATAGTGTAAAAAAACAGAGCGCTTTTCTGAGTGAACGTGTTAACAGCTCACTCTTCTGTGGTCTAATGTGTGGTCAGCTGGTGCTGTGAGTGAAGTGTGTGGTGGTCAGTGTTCTGACCTGCAGCACAGGTGGAACACTCTCTCCGGCCTTCCTTCAGACTCCGACTTCACGTGAACGATCTCACACACTGCAGCGCTGTCACCATCTGTTTGACGCAAAACACACAAACACACACACACACACACACACATACACACACATATACACACACACGCTATTCAGCTGTTCTGGCTGTGTTTGGAGTATTCACAGCAGGGTGTACAAACTTTTTCACAAAGGCCTGCAGATTCCACCAGTTTAGTCAACAGGTTTTGGTCATCAGACAGCTGACCACCAGAGCTCCTGATTGACCTGCAGCCACAGCAGCCCTTTGTGAAAAAGACTGGGCACCCCTCATTTACACTGTGCTCTCCTGTTACTCCACTAGGGGGCGACATTTACAGCTAAATCTTTACCATCAAGACTGAATAACATAAAGCCACGATTTACCTGCACTGGTCAGGGCTCTGACTTGAAGAGCACTGGTGGAGATCATGTGACGGAAACGGAACGGATCCTTCTCTTCCCCGGAGACAGACGCACGGTGAGACCCACCCTGAGAGAGAGACAGAGTGAGAGAGCAGAGAGGGAGAGAGAGAGAGAGAGAGAGATAGAGAGAGAGATAGAAGGTGTGTTTACCGTCTGTCTCTATGCTCTGAAATTCCTCGGAATTCATACTATATTGTCTGTTAGGAAGAGGAAAACACTGAGACTCACCATCTTCTTCTTCTGTTTGGAACAGTCTTTGCAGACGAACACCACAGCAGTTTTAAAGACTGAAGAGAACAGAGCAGACAGACGCAGTTACACTCTGCTGATAGAGTGATCAGGGAATAACAGGGTCTAACTCGGAGTGCATCGGGGTGTAACAGGGTGCGTTACTGTGTAACAGAGCACAATGGATCAAATAACAGCAGAGTGTAGGAGGACATAGGAGAGTGTGGTGGAGTATACTAGGGTACAATAGGTCATAATAGGTATCAAAGTGGGCATAAAAGGGTGTAATAGAGTGTAAGAGGGTGTAAAAGGGTGTGATACAGGATTAGAGAGTGTAAAACAGTGTAATAGTGTGTAAGAGGGTGAAAAAGAGTATGAGAGCATATAAAAGGGCGTAATACAGAGGCTGTAAAATATATAATGGAGTGTAAGAGGGCATAAAAGGTGGTAGAAGAGTGAAAGGGCATAAAAAGGGGTAAAAGAGTGTGAGAGGGTATAAAAGTGTGTAATACAGGATAAGAGGGTGTAAAAGGGTATACTAGAGTGTGAGAGCATGAAAAAGGGTGTAATATAGTCTAAGAGAGTGTAAGAGTGTATAAAAGGGTGCAACAGAGTGTGAAAGGTGTAAACAGGGGTAAAAGTGTGTGAGAGGGTGTAAAAGGTATAATAGAGTGTGAGAGGGTGAAAAAGGGTGTAATACAGTCTAAGAGAGTATAAGAGGGTGTAAAAGGGTGTAATAGAGTGTAAGAGGGTGTAAAATGGTGTAATACAGTCTAAGAGAGTGTAAGAGGGTGTAAAAGGGTGTCATAGAGTGTAAGAGGTTGTGAAATGGTGTAATACAGTCTAAGAGAGTGTAAGAGGGTGTGAGAGGGTGTAATAGGGTGTGGGAGGGTGTAAAAGGGTGTAATAGAGTGTAAGAGGGTGTGAAATGGTGTAATACAGTCTAAGAGAGTGTAAGAGGGTGTAAAAGGGTGTAATAGAGTGTAAGAGGGTGTAAAATGGTGTAATACAGTCTAAGAGAGTGTAAGAGGGTGTAAAAGGGTGTCATAGAGTGTAAGAGGTTGTGAAATGGTGTAATACAGTCTAAGAGAGTGTAAGAGGGTGTAAAAGGGTGTAATAGCGTGTGAGAGGGTGTAAAAGGGTGTAATAGAGTGTAAGAGGTTGTGAAATGGTGTAATACAGTCTAAGAGAGTGTAAGAGGGTGTAAAAGGGTGTAATAGGGTGTGAGAGGGTGTAAAAGGGTGTAATAGAGTGTAAGAGGTTGTGAAATGGTGTAATAGAGTGTAAGAGGTTGTGAAATGGTGTAATAGAGTGTAAGAGGTTGTGAAATGGTGTAATACAGTCTAAGAGAGTGTAAGAGGGTGTAAAAGGGTGTAATAGAGTGTAAGAGGGTGTAAAATGGTGTAATACAGTCTAAGAGAGTGTAAGAGGGTGTAAAAGGGTGTCATAGAGTGTAAGAGGTTGTGAAATGGTGTAATACAGTCTAAGAGAGTGTAATAGGGTGTAAAAGGGTGTAATAGCGTGTGAGAGGGTGTAAAAGGGTGTAATAGAGTGTAAGAGATTGTGAAATGGTGTAATACAGTCTAAGAGAGTGTAAGAGGGTGTAAAAGGGTGTAATAGGGTGTGAGAGGGTGTAAAAGGGTGTAATAGAGTGTAAGAGGTTGTGAAATGGTGTAATACAGTCTAAGAGAGTGTAAGAGGGTGTAAAAGGGTGTAATAGGGTGTGAGAGGGTGTAAAAGGGTGTAATAGAGTGTAAGAGGTTGTGAAATGGTGTAATAGAGTGTAAGAGGTTGTGAAATGGTGTAATAGAGTGTAAGAGGTTGTGAAATGGTGTAATACAGTCTAAGAGAGTGTAAGAGGGTGTAAAGGGTGTAATAGAGTGTAAGAGGTTGTGAAATGGTGTAATACAGTCTAAGAGAGTGTAAGAGGGTGTAAAAGGGTGTAATAGAGTGTAAGAGGTTGTGAAATGGTGTAATACAGTCTAAGAGAGTGTAAGAGGGTGTAAAGGGTGTAATAGAGTGTAAGAGGTTGTGAAATGGTGTAATACAGCCTAAGAAGGTATAAAGGAGTGAAACAGAGTGTAAGAGGGTATAAGTAGAGCAGAAGACAGTGGGGTGTAGAAGGAGTGGTTGGGTTTGTGAGGGTGTGGTTGTTGTGTGAAGGTGTGGTTGGGTGTGTGAGGGTGTGGCTGGGGGTGTGAAGGTGTGGTTGCAGGGTGAGGGTGTGGTTGGGGGTGTGAGGGTGTGGTTGAGTGTGTGAGAGTGTGGTTGGGTGTGTGAGGGTGTGGATGGGGGTGTGAGGGAGTGGCCGGGTGTGTGAAGGTGTGGTTGGGTGTGTGAAGGTGTGGTTGAGGGGTAAGGGTGTGGTTGGGTGTGTGAGGGTGTGGATGGGTGTGTGAGGGTGTGGATGGGGGTGTGAGGGAGTGGCCGGGTGTGTGAAGGTGTGGTTGGGTGTGTGAAGGTGTGGTTGAGGGGTAAGGGTGTGGTTGGGTGTGTGAGGGTGTGGATGGGTGTGTGAGGGTGTGGTTTAGTGCAATTTGAGTGGAGGAGGACCGTGTTTTGGTGCGCGCTTGGTGTGCGGTGGGTGATGTACCAAATGTGGCGAGTTGGGGCTCCTTCTTCCACTTCCCCAGAGAGGAGGGCGGGTTCAGCCAGGTCACCGTGGTGTGCAGCAGCAGGTCACCCATAGACAGGTCAGCCACCTGTAACCATGACAACGACAACAGTAGCATGATTAGACTCACATTATTATGCAGAGAAATAATAAATCATAATAGAGCATAACAGCAAAACATAACAGAGCAAATAACAAAATCAGGCAGAAGGATATACTAGAGTGTAATAGAGTGTAACAGGATGTAATAGGGTGTAATAGGGTGTAACAGAGTGTAACAGGCTGTAATAGGATGTAATAGAGTGTAAAAGGGCGTAACAATGTATAGGAGAGCATAATATAATGCAACAGTATGCAATAGAGTGTAACAGGATGTAATAGGGTGTAACAGAATGTAACAGGATATAACAGTGTATAACAGAGCGTAACAGAATGTAATAGTGTGTAATAGAGTGTAAGAGGATGTGAAAGGAAGTAATAGAGAGTAACAGGATGTAACAGTGTATAAGAGAGTGTAACAGAATGTAATAGTGTGTAATAGAGTGTAAGAGGATGAAATAGGGTATAATACAGTGCAACCGAATGTGTATGATAGATTGTAACAATGTAATAGAGTGTAATAGTGTGTGACAGGATGTCATAAGGTATAACAGGCTATACTAGGGTGTAACAGGAATGTACATGGGTGTAATAGAGTGTAACAGAATGTAACATGATGTAACTGGATGTAATAGCGTGTAACTGAGTATAACAGGATGTACCATGGTGTAACTGGATGTAATAGAGTGTCACAGGATGTAATAGGGTGTAATAGGGTGTAACAGAGTGTAACAGGCTGTAATAGGATGTAATAGAGAGTAAAAGGGCATAACAATGTACAGGAGAGCGTAATATAATGCAACAGTGTGCAATAGAGTGTAACAGGATGTAATAGGGTGTAATAGGGTGTATCAGAGTGTAACAAGCTGTAATAGGATGTAATAGAGTGTAAAAGGGCATAACAATGTAAAGGAGAGCATAATATAATGCAACAGTATGCAATAGAGTGTAACAGGATGCAATAGGGTGTAATAGGGTGTAACAGAATGCAACAGGATATAACAGTGTATAAGAGAGTGTAACAGAATGTAATAGTGTGTAATAGAGTATAAGAGGATGTGATAGGATGTAATAGAGAGTAACAGGATATAACAGTGTATAAGAGAGTGTAACAATGTAATAGTGTGTAATAGAGGGAAGAGGATGAAATAGGGTATAATACAGTGCAACAGAATGTGTATGATAGATTGTAACAATGTAATAGAGTGTAATAGTGTGTGACAGGATGTCATAAGGTATAACAGGCTGTACTAGGGTGTAACAGGAATGTACATGGGTGTAATAGAGTATAACAGGATGTACCATGGTGTAACAGGATGTAATAGAGTGTAACAGGATGTAATAAAGTGTAACAGGGTGTAACAGGATGTGCTAATGTTGTGTATGTAATGGACTGTGACTGTTACGCACCTCTTTCTTTTCGCCGGTCTGTTCTGAGATCAGCTGATCAAAAACAGCACCAAACTCTTCATGGAGCTTCTGCATCTCGTTAATGTGACTCGCCACTTTATTCATGGCCTTCATTGCAACTACACACGAACAGGAGAGAGGACAGTTTAATTAGATTAGACTTGGAAAGAATGTTTATATCAAAATCATGAAGGAGTCCAATGTTATGTTACAACTGCCCAGTAGGTTAATTGTATCTGGTTTTACAAGGGAGAACAGGGTAAGACAGTGTGTAATAGGGTGTAACAGAGAGTAACAGGGTTTAAATGGGTGTAACAGGGTGTAATAAGGTATAATAGGGTGTAATAGGTTACAGTATAGTGTAACAGGCTCTAAAAGAATATAATAGGGCAAAACAGGGTACAATGAGGTATAACTGGATGTGTTCGGCTATCATAGGGTGTAACAGGGTGTAATAGAGTACAATAGGGTGTAACAGGGTGTATTAAAATGTAATAGCATACGTTATGGTGTAACAGGGTATATAACGTTGTATAATAGCATGCAATTGGGTGTAATAGGTTATAGTTGGGTGTAACAGGATATATAAAAGGCGATAACTATGCAATAAGATGTAACAGGGTGTAACAGCATGCAATAGGGTGTAATAAGGTATAATATGGTGCAATAAGGTATAATAGTGTGTAATAACATGTTATTATGTCTTGAAAATGAACAAAAGCACTGTCTGTCTCACCGTCGAGGTGGTAGTGTTCCTCGCTGTCCGGGTCGGTGAGCGTGTAGAGCTCTCTCAGCAGCAGCGGGTACTTCAGAACTCTCTGGATGGGTTTGATCAGATAGGACTCCAGAGTGGACGAGTGCTGCTGCTTCGGGTTCCTCTCGTCCAGGAACGCCTTAAACGCAGGGTCCGTCTTTGCTGCAGGAATAATACACGCAAACACATGAACAGATGTGACAGTTAGCAAGTCTGCATCCTGAAACTGAGGGAATGAGAAAAAGAGTATCTTTTCAATACAAATGTTCGATTTCCATAACTTAAATAAGAATGTGTAATTTTTCATCTTGCCAATAAAAAGGCGAGAGAGAGAGAGGGGTAGAGAGAGGTTACCTTTCACCAGCACTTTGGGTACTTTAGTGTGGCTGGCGCAGAAGGCGCTGTAGATCTTAAAGCGGTCGGCGTAGTAGAGAAACGATCCACCCAGAGAGAAGAGAATTTTCTACAAAACAAGACGAAAGAAAGAGAAATGAGATGGAATTACAGAGAAAGAGAGAGAGAGAGAGAGAGAGAGAGAGAGAGAGAGAGAAAGTTTTTCACCTTGAACTGTTCGACCCTCTCCAGTTTCTCCAGGTCAGGAACCAGGCGAGTGCCGTCCTCCAGCGTCCGCAAAAACTCCACCTGAAACTCCACCATCTCCGGAAGATTCCCGAACAGGACGTCCAACTAACACACACACATACACACACAATGAAAGCTTTAAGTGCTGTTTATCTGAGGGGTGGTGTATCAGTGTGGGTGTCTACCAGGTCTTCCAGGTGGTTGTTAGGAGCCTCATTTTCTCTGGAGCTTTTAATCAGCCTTTGAATTTCACTTGATTTCCTGACTTGTTTCCATGCAAGTGGATCATCTTATATCTAATCTCCTCACACAGACCTTATGAACAATGAAGAACTAATGGCTGTTTTAATGTAAATGAATAAACGAAGGGGGTCTCTGACTTTTGCACTGTGCTGTACAAACTGACCGCTAATGTAACAGAGGAACTGTGTTTGTGACGAGCTGTTTCTTCAGGCAGTCGTGTCTCAGGCTGTAACTCTTAACACCTACACACTCACCGTCATTAAACTGACAAGGTGATTTACAGACTGTAAACACAGTGCTCTGGACAGGTGTGTGTGTGTGTGTGTGTGTGTGTGTATCATTAGCTCTGCTTTACAGCGAGGGCTGGTGTGTGTGTGTTACAGTAATGAACACATCAGTATTTTACTGTCAGTGTGATCCCACACAACGCCCAATATAGAACAGCAACCCCCCCACCCTCTTCACGCCCACACACAAATACACCCCCCACCCGACACCAACCTCTCACTCTACTATCCATATGTGATATATAATATATATAAGTGCCCATATGTACTAATAATATGTTCCATAGGTATTATATATACACTACATGGCCAAAAGTATGTGGACACCCCTCTTAATTATGGAATTTTGGTGTTTCATCCACTCCCTTTGCTAACAGGTGTATAAAATCAAGCACATGATCAAGCACATAACTGTAAGTGCTATTGTCATGAAATGGAAGCATCTAGGAGCAACAACAACTCAGCCACGAAGTGGCAGACCTGAGTGGGGCCACCAAGAGCTGAAGCATGTAGCTTTGTTTATATTCTGTTGAATCATCTCTCACTACAGAGCTCCAAACTGCCTCTGAAAGCAACATCAGCACAAGAACTGAGCATCAGGAGCTTCATTAAAGGGGTTTCTATGGCTGAGTAGCTACACACAAGCCTAAGATCACTATGCGCAATGCCAAGTGTCGGCTGGAGGGGTGTAAAGCACGCTGGACTCTGGAGCAGTGGAAACGTGTTCTCTGGAGTGATGAGTCAAGCTTCCCTATCTGGCAGTCTGATGATGAATCTGGGTTGGGTTTATGCCAGGAGAACATTACCTACCGGAATGCAGAGCCAACAGTACAGTTTGGTGGAGGAGGGATGATGAGCTGGGGCTGTTTTTCAGGCCCCTTAGTTCTAGTGAAGGGTGATGCTGATGCTACAGCACAAAGACATTTTACACAGTTATCTGCTTCCAGCTTTGTGTCAGCAGTTTGGGGAAGAGCCTTTCCTGTTCCAGCATGACTGAGCCCCTGTGCACAAAGCAGCTCCATAAAGTCATGGCGTGACCAGTTTGGTGTGGAGGAACTCCAGTGGTCCTCAAAGAGCCCTGACCTCAACCCCACTGAGCACCTTAGGGATGAACTGGAACGGAGATTGTGAGCCAGACCCTCTCGTCCAACATCAGTGTCTGACCTCACAAATGCTCTTTTGACTGAACGGACACAAATTCCTACAGACACTCTCCAAAATCTTGTAGGAAGCTCCCCAGAAGAGCTTATATAGGTGTGATAGTCATGTGTCCACATACTTTTGGCCATAGTGTATATGTCGCTGTCCAAAGAAAAACGTCCAAAGTAGTTTTACAGGAGAAGGAAAAAACATTTTTAACTTAACGTAAGTTAATGTAAAAAGGGTTTTATTCCAAATGAGTTCGGAGCATTTTTATTGGTCCATTCATCATAATATTTTCACTCAGTAAAAAGACAAATGGCATGTTCAGTATAATATGTCCCATATGTATTATGTATATGTAAGTATCTGAGTGTGGTTTACCTCATCCTGAGTGAGGAAGCTTTCTTTCTGTAGAGGAGTCAAATACCTCCCAATCAGACAGTTCAAGTCCTGAAAACAGAGGAGCAGATTTCATATAATACACAATATAAACATTTCCATAATACACAGTATGAGTGTAATTAGTCCATAGGTTGTGAACAGGTTAGAACAGACAGTTTAAGAACTCCAGTGTACAGAGTGCAGTGACCTTTAACCCATGTTTCTCCCCAGTGTAGACGAGTCCACAGTTACAGTCGAGAGTTTTACACTAATGTTATTTAACTAATGTGAACTACACTGTAATACTGTATCTGTAATACTGTAACAGTATTAGTGTAATTGTGATACTGTAACTGTAATACTGTAACTATAATACTGTAGCTATATTACGGTAACTGTAACACTGTAACTGTATTAGTGTAACTATAATACCGTAAACAAGTGGCTTAGAAAATGGGTGTGTAATACTGTATTTATATTACTGTACCTGCAAAACTGTAACTGTACTATTGTAACTATTAACACAACTGTATGAGTGTAACTGCATAGTGTAATTGTGATACTGTAACTCTAATACTGTAACTGTATTAGTGTAACTGTAATACTGTACTGTAATACTGTAACTGTATTAGTGTAACTTTAATACTGTACGTTTAATAACCCTCCACCCAGCCACCCCCCCCACCCTTTTCCTTCCCTTTCTCTTTATCATCTCTCCATCATTCTCCCCCTTTCTTTTCTCAGTCTGTTTCTGTTTTCTCTCTCTCACACTTTTTTCTCACTCTTTCTTCCCTCTTTTTATTCTCTCTTTTTTATTTCTCTCTCTTCCCCTCCCTCTCTTTCTCTTCTCTGTCTCTCTCTCTCTCTCTCTTTTTCTTCCCCCTACTCCCTCTCACTGCCCCCCCCCCTCTGTTTCAGGTGAACATTTTATCTCTGCACATTTTATGATCAGTGTTGAGAACACAGGGTTCCTGCAGAGACAGTAACAGAGCGTACAGTAACAGTAACTGTACTGTAGCAGATCTTCACTCTAACACAGCTCTGCTCTTACAGCTGCAGTGAAGGCTTTAGCTGTGTTTGAACAGAGTTCATAATATTTAACCCTGTTTACATCACAGTAAAACACTGTGTTCATCAGCTCACAGTGAAACCCCCACAGGACCCCCACAGGACCCCCACAGAGCAGGTATTATTAGCGTGGTGGGTCATTTTCAGCAGTGACACTGACGTGCTGGTGGTGTGTTAGTGTGTGTTGTGCTGCTGGAGTTTTTAAACACCTCAGTGTCGCTGCTGGACTGAGAACCACAAAACATCCAGCCAACAGCGTCCTGTGGGCAGCGTCCTGTGACCACTGATGAAGGACTGGAGGATGACCAACACAAACTGTGCAGCAGCAGATGAGCTATCGTCTCTGACTTTACATCTACAAGGTGGACTGACGAGGTAGGAGTGTCTAATAGAGTGGACAGTGAGTGGACACAGTGTTTAAAACTCCAGCAGCACTGCTGTGTCTGATCCACTTGTACCAGCACAACGCACACTAACACACAACCACCGCGTCAGTGTTACTGCTGAGAATGACCCATCACGCTAATAATACCTGCTCTGTGGGGGTCCTGACCATTGAAGAACAGGGTGCAGAGAAAACAGATGGACTACAGTCTGTAACTGTAGAACTACAGAGTGAAATTATATGGTCAGTGGAGCTGATGAAGTGGACAATGAGTGTGGATACTAGGAGATGAACTTAACACACACACAGACATATATATATATATATATACATATATATATATGTATATATATATATATATAATCAGTGGTACTGACTTTAACGTAGGTGCGCTCCGTCTCCACCAGCTCCCAGATCACTTTGCGCAGCTTGTCGGCGTGGCTGAGCTGCCGCGGAGCGTTAACACATCCTGAGGAAGACTCCGGTCCAGAGGAAGGAGAAACGGCCTCTGAGGAAGGATTCATCTCATGGAGACTCCGACAGAACGCGGCTACCTGCTCCGTACTCTACAGAGAGAGAGAGAGAGGGAGAGAGAGAGAGAGAGAGAGAGAGGGAGGGTGAGAGCTATAAAAAATCATTTGAACTTGAACTCATTTGATCTATTTTGAGTCAGAGCGGCTCTCTCCTCCTCTCTATCCCATCATCCTCACTCAGTCACTGCACACAGACAGCACTGTGCAAAACTCCAAGACCCCCTTCATTCATTTAATTGAGGTTAAAAAAAATCATTAAAAGCTGCAGAGAAAATGGGGCTCCTAACAACCACCTGGAAGAGCTGGTCGACCCCCAAACTGCCCCCGTCAGATAAACAGCACTTAAAGCTTTCATCTCTGAGAGAGAGGAGAAAATCAAGCTGCTTCAGATCTGAAAACATCCACAGGTGTTTCTGTCCATCCTTCCACTGTGAGAAGACGACTCAGCGCTGTGGGTCTAAAAGGATGTGTAGCTGTTCAAGAAGAACCTCACTGAGAAAAGGAGACGGACACATCAAACAAAGAAGCTGAACAATGGACTGACCACCCCAGAGTCCAGACCTCAACACCACTGAATGTGTTTGATTACTTCAGAAAATGATCAACCAGCTTCTAAGACTGAACTTTGGAGGCGAGTCTGCAGATTCTTTGAGGAACTGAAAGTGAGTCTCCTGAAAAGAAGCAAAGCTGGAATAAAGGTGAAGAGTGACACACTCAACCCATACATATATATATATATATATATATGTTTTACTCTCTCTCTCTCTCTCTCTTTCTCTCCCTCTCTCTCTCTCCCTCCCTCTCTCTCTGTTCTCTCTCTCTCTCTCTCCCCCTCTCTCTCTCTCTCTCTGACAGCTGGCTGTTTGAGCTTCTTTTCCTCCAAACCAAAATACGAGCACCTGTCCTTCCGGCCGGTTGTCATGGTGATGGTCGTCACGGCGCATGGGAAAGTGTCGGCTGTGTTTTTACACTGACAGACTGATGAAGAGCAGAGTCCATCACACTCACTTTCTCTCTCTCTCTTCTTTTATCTCGCTCTTTCCGCTCTCTTCCTCTCTAACCCTTTTTTCTTTCTCGCCCTCTTTCCTCTCCTCCTCCTTTTCTCTTTCTCTCTCTCCCCTCCCTTTACCCCCCCCCTCTCTCTCTCTCTCCCTCTCTCTCTCTCCCTCTCTCTCTCTCTCTCTCACGTAGCAGGCACTCAGTGTTCTGACTAGATGTGCCAGCAAATGTCATTCACACTGAACTTTCCCTCTCTCTCTCTCTCTCTCTCTCTCTCTCTCTCTCTCTCTCATTAGCACTTTATTTTCACTCTCTAACTCTCGCCTCTGTTCTGAAACCACACAAATCCTGTCAAAGTCTGAGCAACATGAAAACACTCACAACACTCATTAAGCAGAAGTGATTCATTTTCCAGCTTCCGGAAATAAACACGAAAAAATCACACGTTCAACAGAAAATCACACAGAAGCCTCAACAGCCAATCAACAACCAGCCAATTAGCACTCAGTAGCAGAAATGCCAACCAATCAAACTCAGTAGCAGTAATGCTAACCAGTCAACTCTCAGTAGCAGTAATGCTGACCAATCAGCACTCAGTAGAAGTAATGTTAACCAATCAGCACTCAGTAGAAGTAATGCTGACCAATCAGCACTCAGTAGAAGTAACGCTAACCAATCAAACTCTGTAGCAGTAATGCTAACCAATCAACTCTCAGTAGCAGTAATGCTGACCAATTAGCACTCAGTAGCAATAATGTTGACCAATCAGCACTCAGTAGCAGTAATGCTGACAAATCCACGTTCAGTAGCAGTAATGCCAACCAATCAGCACTCAGTAGCAGTAATGCTAACCAATCACCACTCAGTAGCAGTAATGCTAACCAACCAGCACTCAGTAGCAGTAATGCTGACCAATCAGCACTCAGTAGCAGTAATGCTAACCAATCACCACTCAGTAGCAGTAATGCTAACCAATCAGCACTCAGTAGCAGTAATGCTGACCAATCAGCACTCACTAGCAGTAATGCCAACCAGTCAGCACTCATTAGCAGTAATGCCAACCAGTCAGGACTCAGTAGCAGTAATGCCAACCAGTCAGCACTCAGTAGCAGTAATGCTAACCAATCACCACTCAGTAGCAGTAATGCTAACCAATCAAACTCACTACTAGTAATGCCAACCAATCAGCACTCAGTAGCAGTAATGTTAACCAGTCAGCACTCAGTAGCAGTAATGCTAACCAATCAGCACTCAGTAGCAGTAATGCTATCCAATCAGCACGCATTAGCAGTAATGCTAACCAATCAGCACTCAGTAGCAGTAATGCTAACCAGTCAGCACTCAGTAGCAGTAATGCTAACCAATCAGCACTCAGTAGCAGTAATGCTAACCAATCAGCACTCAGTAGCAGTAATGCTAACCAGTCAGCACTCAGTAGAAGTAATGCTAACCAGTCAGCACTCAGTAGCAGTAATGCTAACCAATCAGCACTCAGTAGAAGTAATGCTAACCAGTCAGCACTCAGTAGCAGGAATGCTAACCAATCAGCACTCAGTAGCAGTAATGCTAACCAATCAGCACTCATTAGAAGTAATGCTAACCAGTCAGCACTCAGTAGAAATAATGCCAACCAGTCAGCACTCAGTAGCAGTAATGCTAACCAATCAGCACTCAGTAGAAGTAATGCTAACCAGTCAGCACTCAGTAGCAGGAATGCTAACCAATCAGCACTCAGTAGCAGTAATGCTAACCAATCAGCACTCATTAGAAGTAATGCTAACCAGTCAGCACTCAGTAGCAGTAATGCTAACCAATCAGCACCCAGTAGCAGTAATGCTAACCAATCAGCACTCAGTAGATGTAATGCTAACCAATCAGCACTCAGTAGAAGTAATGCTAACCAATCAGCACTCAGTAGCAGTAATGCTAACCAATCAGCACTCAGTAGCAGTAATGCTAACCAGTCAGCACTCAGTAGCAGTAATGCTAACCAATCAGCACTCAGTAGCAGTAATGCTAACCAATCAGCACTCAGTAGATGTAATGCTAACCAGTCAGCACTCAGTAGCAGTAATGCTAACCAATTTAGCTCCATTCACGCTCAGTCATTGATGCACTTACACATTTCCACCAGAGAGGTCGCCAAATCCCCAAATCTCACACAGAGCTTTAACCATAGCTGAGATAAACGCTATTAACTGTCAGCCAACTTGGGCTTATATATGCTATATACTTAATGCAGTTAAACAGGTTCCAATAGAACATCTGGTTCCCAAAGCAACATCAACCGGGAATTTTCACAACAATCCAAACAATGTTTCTCCAGATTCACCTTATATGACACCCTTAAAAAAGATGGTTCTTCAAGGGTCCTTTAATAAAGAGAATGGTTCTATTTGGAACCAGGAGTTCTGTATAAAACCACTTGCATGCTTAAATCGTTCTTTGCCTGGTGAAATGGTTCTTCAGCTTGACGGAGAATGTATTGTGTATGGATCTATATAGAACCATGTTTCTATAAAGCACCTAAAAGGGTTCTTCTATCATTACAACGCTCTTAAAAAAGATGGTTCTTCAAGGGTCCTTTACTATAGGATAGAGAACCGTGAACATTCAAAAAACGATTTGCTTGCTTAACTGGTTCTTTGCATGGCATAGACGTTCTTCAGATTGATGGAGCATGGGTTGTATATGGTTCTATACAACAACAAAAAGGGTTCTTCCATTGTAGACAAGCTTGACATTGTAAACAATAGCAGAACGCTTTTTGGTGCTACACAGAACCACTTTCAAAAAGGTTCTATGTAGAACCATGTAGAACATATTCTCCATCAATCTGAAGAACTATTTCACCATGCCGAGAACCATTTAAGCGCGCAAATGGTTCTTTGAGTGTTCATGGTTCTATATAGAACCACTGTCTTTACTAAAGAACCCTTTTTTAAAGAGTGTACAGACAAAATAAATAACAGAAATACATGGAATAAAAGGAATATATATCTGTATATATAGAGAGAGATAGAGAGAAAGAAGAGAGAGAGAGAGAGAGAGAGAGAGTAAAGGAAGATAGAGAGACGAAGAAAAGGACCAGAAACAGGAAGGGAGATAAAGAGAGGGAGAGACAGACAAAGAGAAAATGAGGAGACAAAGAGAGAGAATGAAAAAGTGAGAGAGAAGGAAAAGAGAGAGAAAGAGTGTGACGAAGATAAAATAAAGAGAAAAAAGAGAAGGGGTGCAAGACAGACTGAAAAAGAAAACATATAAAAGGAACAAAGGAGGAAGAGAGGAATAGAGAGAGAAGTAAAAAGTGAGAGAGAGAGAAGGAATGAGAGTGAGAGAGAGAGAGAGAAGTAAAGGAATGAGAAACAAAGAGAGAAAGAAAGAGAAGTCAAAGTGAGACAGAGAAAGATAGAGAGAGATAGCGAGATAAAGAGAGAGACAGAGACAGAGAGAGATAAAGAGAGAGAGAGAGAGACAGGGAGAGATAGAGAGAGAGAGAGAGAGAGACAGAAAGAGAGAGATATAGAGACAGTAGTAGTGAGAGAGTAGAGCAGTGAGCTCCTCACCAGGTGCAGGATGCTGTAGATGGAGTCTGAGGAGCGCTTACGGCTCCTGTTCCTCTTCAGCACCGACATCACTCACACACGCACACTATACACACGCTATACACACACTATACACACACTCACACACTATACACACACTATACACACACACACTCTCAGCGCTGACCGCTGTCCATGCACACTCACACACGCGCGCAGCATGGAGACGCTGACCACTCTGGCAGATCCACACACAGTCACCGCCCGCTCCACACTGAACTCTCTCTCCCTGTCCTCCACCAGTATCTCTCTCTCTAGTCCCCTAGTACCTCTCTCTCTCTCTCTCTCTCTCTCTCTCTCTCTCCCTCTCTGTGTATTTCACCAATATCTCCCTCTCTCTCTGTACTTCCCCAATATCTCTCTCACTCTCTCTCTGTACTCTCCAGTATCTCTCTCTCTCTTTCAATATATATATATATATACATATATATATATATACTCATTCAATAACTCTTTATATATACTCCTTCAATAACTCTCTGTATGTATACTCCTTCAATCTCTTTCTCTCTTTTTACTCCTTCAATCTCTCTCTCTCTCTCTCCCCCTCTATATATATATATACTCCTTCAATAACTCTTTATATATACTCCTTCAATCTCTTTCTTTCTCTATACTCTCTATACTCCTTCAATCTCTCTCTATATATACATACTCCTTCATTAACTCTTTATATATACTCCTTCAATCTCTCTCTCTCTCTATACTCCTTCAATAACTCTCTCTCTTTATTCTCCTCTGCTTTATGAGATGAAATAAAGTACAAACACAAGTAAATAAAAAAGAGAGAAACAAAAGGAGAAGCAGCAGCAGTCATGATCCTTTACATACACACCCCCTTCTCTCTCTCTCTCTCTCTCTCTCTCTCCCTTTTGCTCTTTCTCCCTCTCCTGTTCGCCCACCTACACACTCAGTCCTTCTAAATCACCTCCTTCTCCTCCCTCTGATTCTGCTTCATCTCACTTTCTCTCTCTCTCTCTCTCTCACTACCTCAGAGTGGTGCAAAGATCACAGTGGACATATGGGAATGAACAGAGTGAAGAGGGGAAGAGAGAAAAGAAGGAGAGAAGAGGAGAGATGGACAGACAGCTGATCAGAGAGAGAAAGAAACAGAAAGAAAATATATGCATATAAAAATGAGAGAAAGAAAGAAAGCGAAAGAGTGGAGAGAAAGAGAGAGATGGAGAGAAATGGACAGAGATGGAGAAAAAGGGAGAGAGATGAGAGAAAGGGAGAGAGTGTTTCCTCAAGGTTGATAAGGCTGGACACCTCACACAGCAGAATGAATATTAATGAAGAGAGAGAGAGAGGAGAAGGAATAGAGAGAGAAAGAGAGGAGAAGGAATAGAAACAGTGAGAGGAGAAGAGAAGGAATAGAAAAAGAGAGAGGAGAAGAGAAGGGATAGAAACAATGAGAAGAGAAGAGAAGAGAAGAGAAGAGAAGAGAAGAGAAGAGAAGAGAAGATATGGAATAGAGAAAAAGGAAAAGAAGGAATAGAGAGAGAGAGAGGAGAAGAAATACAGAGAGACAAGAGAGAAGAAGGGATACAGAGGGGGTGGAGAAATAATAGAAAAAGTGAGAGGAGAAGAGAAGGAGTAGAAAGAAAGAGCAGAGGAAAATGGATAGAGAGAGGAGAGGAGAAGGGATAGAGAGGGGGAGATGGAATAGAGAGAGAAAGGAGAAGTGGAGGAATATAGAGAGAGGAATAGAGAGATAGATGGGGGAGTACAGAGAGAGAGGGGGGGCGAGAGATACTGTGGGAGTACAAAGAGGGGAGAGAGAGAGAGAGAGAGAGAGAGGGAGAGAGAGATACTAGGGGAGTACAGAGAGAGAGAGAGAGAGAGAGAGCGAGAGAGAGAGTGAGGGAGACAGAGATACTGGGGTAGTAGAGAGAGAGAGACAGAGATACTGGGGGAGTACAGAGAGAGAGAGAGAGTGAGGGAGACAGAGATACTGGGGGAGTACAGAGAGAGAGAGAGAGAGTGAGGGAGACAGAGATACTGGGGGAGTACAGAGAGAGAGAGAGAGTGAGGGAGACAGAGATACTGGGGTAGTAGAGAGAGAGAGAGAGAGAGAGAGAGAGAGAAAGAGTGAGGGAGACAGAGATACTGGGGGAGTACAGAGAGAGAGAGAGAGAGAGAGAGAGAGAGAGAGAGAGAAAGAGTGAGGGAGACAGAGATACTGGGGGAGTACAGAGAGAGAGAGAGAGTGAGGGAGACAGAGATACTTGGGTAGTAGAGAGAGAGAGAGAGAGAGAGAGAGAGAGGGAGACAGAGATACTGGGGGAGTACAGAGAAAGAGAGAGAGAGTGAGGGAGACAGAGATACTGGGGGAGTACAGAGAGAGAGAGAGAGAGAGAGAGAGAGAGTGAGGGAGACAGGGATACTGGGGGAGTACAGAGAGAGGAGGGGAGAGAGGGGAGAGAGATACTGGGGGAGTACAGAGAGAGGAGGGGAGAGAGAGGGGGGGGATACTGGGGGAGTACAGAGAGAGAGAGAGAGAGTGAGGGAGACAGATACTGGGGGAGTACAGAGAGAGAGAGAGAGAGAGAGAGAGAGAGTGAGGGAGACAGGGATACTGGGGGAGTACAGAGAGGGAGGAAGAGAAAGAATAGAAAGAGAAAGAAGAAGAGGAGGAACATAGAGAGAGAAACAGAGAGAGAGAAGGAATAGAGAGATAGATGGGGGAGTACAGAGAGGGGGACAGAGATATGATTGTTGTGATGCTTTAGCAATACTGTACCTCACAGTCACGCTAATAAAGCTATTCTGAACTGAACTGAACTGATACTGGGGGAGTACAGAGAGAGGAGGGGAGAGAGAGGGGAGAGAGATACTGGGGGAGTACAGAGAGAGGAGGGGAGAGAGAGAGGGGGGGAGAGAGATACTGGGGGAGTACAGAGAGATAGAGGGAGAGAGATACTGGGGGAGTAAAGAGAGAGAGAGGGAGAGAGATACTGGGGGAGTAAAGAGAGAGAGAGGGAGAGAAGGAACAGAGAGAGTGAGAGACTGGGGGAGACAGAGAGGGGGGGGGTTTGAGTATAGTGGGAGCCATATATGTGAGGATTTCAGGGGGACACTGAGCAGAATGAGGATGGTAAAGTGACAGTTCGTAGGTCGTGTTTGGTGTCTGAAGTTGGCCTCTTTAGCTTTAGCACTGGAGCTACGAGGCTAATGTAGCTAACAAGTAATGGAAGCCAATACCCCCCTGTTTAGCCCTGTAGCAGCCTGAATACGGTTCATTTAGGCGTGCAGTTAGCGCTGCTAACAGGTGGGCTATTAGCTTCCATTACCTGTCAGCCTCACAGCTATGGACAGTAAACCCGTCCTTCGGGTAAAACTGGGTTAATCTGACTTTTAACAAACTTTACTTCAGCTTTAGAGCCGCGAAGGTCTAAAGTGAGGCGGAGATTTTAAGACAAACTGCACGAGAACAGAGAAGCGCAGTGAGCCGCAGCTTTCAGATGCAAATAGAGGAGAGGCTCTCCACTGTGTACGTCTCTGTAACTGTGCAGCTCTTAAAGAGAGAGAGTGACCCGCAGCGTGATCACACAAAGAGAGAGAGCGCGGCAGAGCCGGATTCACACAGCAGCAGGTCAGACAGCCAGAGAGAGAGAGAGGGAGAGAGAGAGAGGGAGAGAGCAATAATGAGCTCCAGTCTGATGAGCCCAAGATTACAATAAAGATATGCAGCCAGTAGAGAAAGTGAGAGCGAACATACAGCAGAAGTCAGAGACCTTCACGTATTATTTCCAGTCAAAACAGCCATTAAATACAAGCACTTCATTTCATATAGTACACAAGATAATCTACTTTCATAATGAACGAGAAAGTCAAAACTATAGGCCCCTAACAACCACCTGGAAGAGCTGGTCGACCCCAAAACTGCCCCCATCAGATAAACAGCACTTAAAGCTTTCATCTTTGAGAGAGAGGAGAAAATCAAGCTGCTTCAGATCTGAAAACATCCACAGGTGTTTCTGTCCATCCTTCCACTGTGAGAAGACGACTCAGCGCTGTGGGTCTGAAAGGATGTGTAGCTGATCAAGAAGAACCTCACTGAGAAAAGGAGACGGACACATCAAACAAAGATGCTGACCAATGGACTGACCACCCCAGAGTCCAGACCTCAACACCACTGAATGTGTTTGATTGCTTCAGAAAATGATCAACCAGCTTCTAAGACTGAACTTTGGAGGTGTGTCTGCAGATTCTTTGAGGAACTGAAAGTGAGGCTCCTGAAAAGAATGGAAGCTGGAATGAAGGGAGAGAGAGACTCACTGACACAGCTGAGAGTAGATGTAGCTGCTGAGTATTCTGTGGAATGTTCTGGATGTTTTCTGAAAAGTTCCCTCAGACTGACAGCCGCTTTCTAACCCAGTGAGACTCAGTGTGTAAGCAGATTAGCCGGTGTGGGATCATCATCATCATCATCGGCCGTGATCCACAAGACAGCTTTGGAGAGTTAGCATGCTAATCTCTCAGCTCAACACACTACAGCGCACTAAACCGGCACAGACGGGAGAAACATTCTCTCACGAAAAAGAGGAATAAAACATGAGATCCATGAAAAGGAACGCTTGAGGATGCATGATTACAGACCAGTGGACAATACTTTCACTAACTGACCATTTTATTAGAAACACCTATCTTGTACTTCCACTAACTGGCCACTTTATTAGAAACACCCACCTTATACTTCCACTAACTGGCCACTTTATTAGAAACACCTGTCTTGTGCTTCCACTCATTGGCCACTTTATTAGAAACACCCACCTTATACTTCCACTAAGTGGCCACTTTATTAGAAACACCTGTCTTGTGCTTCCACTCATTGGCCACTTTATTAGAAACACCCACCTTATACTTCCACTAACTGGCCACTTTATAAGAAACACCTACCTTGTGCTTCCACTCATTGGCCACTTTATTAGAAACACCCACCTTGTACTTCCACTCACTGGCCACTTTATTAGAAACACCCTACCTTGTGCTTCCACTCACTGGCCACTTTA